GCCAGGCAGAAGCACTGCAGGCACCGGCGGGGGCAGAGGGCAGCAAGCAGCCCTGCTTTGGGGCTGAGGTTGAGGAACCACCAGCCTTAGGAGATGCCGTGGGCTCCATCAGAGCTGGGCTTAGGCTTCCCAAAGTGTTGCCAGGCAGTTTGGCCATTGCAGGCGTGCCTACCTGGCCATCTCTCTCCACTCCATCCCTGCCGGGGTGCTGAGTAGCTGGTTGAGCTGGATGAAGAGCAGCGGGCAGGTGGCATCCCCCCATTCCTCCTGCTGCAGGGTGGCACCAGCTCGCTCGGCTGCTGGGGCCATGCTGGAGGGGAAGTTGCTGTGGCCGAAAGCCTGGTAGGGAGCTTCAGGGTTGCTCCCCTCCGGTCTGGGCTGTGAGAGAGCGTCTGCTGCCTGGAGAGCCATGCTGGCTTCCCCAGGCATGTGGGCTCGCATGGCCACAAGCACTGGCAGCCACAGGCGTGGGGTCCCCTCTGGAGCTGCTGGCACTCGCAGGTTCCCACTCATCCCACACCTTATAAAAGCTGTGAACCAGTTTAAACTGGCCACAAACCAATACACGGGAGCCAAGCCCAAAACAATGATCTCAAAGCAGCAGGGCCAGCCCTGTGGGTCCCAGCGTGGCCAGCTCCTGCTACCCACTGCTACTCTAGCTGCCCACCACAGACCAGGGGACCCCCCTGCCTCCTTCCAGTAAGCCGTGTGGACAAAGCTGCACCGGTGCTCTCAGGGGAGCACCGTGTCCCCAAGCCCTCCCGCACCCCACAGTGTTTTGGCGAGGGGGTGGCAAGGCCGACCCCAGACAGCCGGTGGCAGTGTTGGTGCCTGCGCCAGTGTGCCTGTGCCCACTGCAGAAGGGGTGGCATGGCCTCGTGGCAGCTCTTCCTGAGAAAAGGGATGTGGGGACATGCTCTGGGGAAGGATGTGTCACCGCTGAGGAAATCCAGAGTGGGGCAAGAGGATGCTGCCAGCGGTGGGCGTCACGGCAAGGGCCAGGAGCGCATCAGGGCTGCAGCCATCCTGGTGCGCGGAGGGTGTCTACATGAGCTGCAGCAGGTGAGCGGATGTTGCAGCGTACGGAGGGAGGAAGGATGCGGGCACAGCCGCATCACCCTGCCAGGCTTGGGGAGATGGCACAACCAGCACAGTGCTGCCAGCGGAGAGCAGCGCCCCGTGCTTGCTCTGCCTGTGACGTGCCCACCGCTGCCATCACTGGGCCCGGCTCCCTTGGCTCCATGCAAACAAACAGCCGGGTTGTGTGCAGTGCAAACACGGCGGCAGGCAACACAAACACCCGGCCAGCACAGGTGGGTTTGTGCTGGAACCCGCTGGCCCCGGGCAGGATTCAGCCCCAGGAGCGGGCACAGGGCCAGGCACCACCGCAGCTGAAGTCATGTTTCAGCGGGGTGTGGGTGGGCACGCACCGGTCCCTGGGGTGCTGGTACTTGCCTCGCAGCGCATGGGCTGGGGGGGCACCCATCCTCATCAACCCCGCTATCCCAAAGTACAACCAAACCTCACCCGTGCCCATCCCTTGCCTCATAGCTGACTCCCAGGTCTCCTTCCAGCCCCACAACCAGCTTCACTCCAGCACCAGCAGCTGCCCAATGGGGCCTGCCTCATCCTGCCCCCCTTTAGTGCAGGCAGGAGGGTTGAAGGCAGCAGCCTGCGGCATGGTGGGGGCAAAGGTATGCCAGGGCACCCCGGGTGCCGAGGCATCCCCTGGCCATGCGGTACCAGGTTCGGCTTAGGCCACCCCTGGCTCCTTGGAGACCCC